GCAGCTTCATAACTTCACTAAGATGAGTCCAATGACCCTGAGAGTAGACCTCAGAGCAGGAGACGAGTTGGTTTACGCACACTATTCCTCATTCACTGTCGACAGTGTGAAAAAACACTACACTGTCAGAGTGTCTGGATATTCTGGCACAGCCGGTGAGTCCATCATGAACAGCTTCTACACGTGCATGTAGGCAGGATGAGGCTGTACACCTGTAAAACTCATCTTCATGTATAGGTGACTCACTGACTTACCATAACGGACGGCCGTTCTCCACGCGGGACAGAGACCCTCAGCCATTCATCACGCGCTGTGCCATGTCCTATAGAGGCGGCTGGTGGTATAAGAACTGCCATGAGGCCAATCTCAACGGCCTCTATAACACAGACACCAACCACCAGGTAAAGCAGCTGACTTCACGCAATACATACAGCCATATTATATATATATACACACACACACACACACACACGTAGATATATATCTTCAAGTATCAAGTCCATTGTTCTGCACCAGTTGTAAGGTCTGTGTTTGGTTTCTCTCAGGGAGTGATCTGGACCAAGTGGAAAGGCAAGGATTTCTCCATTCCCTTCACTGAGATGAAATTCCGCCCAGCCTCATTCAGGCCCTGAACATGAGGAGAAATGCATTATTGCAGGAGAGCTGGGACGCCCTCCCGTTAGGGACATAAACCTAAACACACCATCATTGAAAAGCAAGTATCATTACTGCACGTATAGCCACACAATCAATCTACATAATTACATCTACACACATACTCCAATTGTAATATATCAAGGCCCAAAAGGCTGTTCATCTATAGTCTATATGTAGGATTGTACAGTGTTTGGATTCTCTGTGCATTGGGATGCCCCACAGCAGCTGGAGGAAATATTATGCACTGCCTTCTTCTCTACGATGAAGCTGTGGACTAGGTGTCACGCATATCAGCTTGAACTACCAAGAGTCTGATGTTTGTATTCATATTGCTTTGTATGTACCATATTTCAGTGTCTAACAGAAAGATTTCATAAAATAAAAAAGCTGTAAGTTGGTATATGTTAGTTTTTTAAACATTCTATGGTTCTATAAAAAATATATATATATTTGATATTAAAAAACATGTTAACGATCATTTTGGGCAAGTTTTTTTTTCTCGCATTCCAAACTATCTAGCTTTGTAGGCAATAAAAGAAAATAGTGTTGCAAGTGTTAAGAAACACAATCAGTGTAATGTTGTACTCCATTGCTACATATTAATGTGGCAGATACAGACAAGTGCCATTTGCACACTTTACTTGAAAAATGGACAGCACACATGACTCCATCACATTACTTAAATAATACCACCTATATACAGAAACCCAGAGGTACCAAATACAATGCACACGTTCATCAATAACACCACATTTTCCCTATACACCACATTACCTCCCCCCTTTATCTTAAACGCCGCATTACATCAGTATTAAAACAAATGATCTATAAGTGTCCTTCAGTAATTTTCAGTCTTTAAAATGCTGTGGTAATTTAATGGTCTGTTTTGAGCGCCTCAAGTCCACTGAATGTTTGCCATGCTGCTCTTTTTATGGGGTTCTTGCTTCCTGTGACAGGCCAACCATACAGTTCTTAAAGACTCACACACCCACTAAAATGGATAAGAGGCATAAAATGGACTTAAGAACATGTAAACCAATTAAAACTTTATAATACACAAAATCACTGTAATAAATAGAGCGGTTAAAACATGTCCCTTGTGTGACAGTGTCACATAGTCTCCCCCCTTTGCCTACGGCACCTCGGGGAAGAAATTAGACCTTTAAGAGTTCTGTCACCCCGTTGTCCATAAAATGTATACCCTCTTTCCAGTGTGGCTTAAAATGTCTTTGAAATAAATTAGCTAAAACCAGGCAGTCCCAGGCGGGCCCTAGTTTGCTGGAAGGAGCTGGGGAACCGTTGCAGAAAGGTGACAGTCGGTACCAGCCTGGGTAACCCTGGGTAGGTGGCGCGGTTCCTCCCTGGTACTTTCTATACCTTCGCTCTGTTGTTGGTCAGTGAAATTGCTGAGATGGTGGAACAGTAAAGTGGAGGTGAAGCGGAGCTGCTGATGGCAGGCGCAGTGTTGGTGGTTTCGGTGTGAGGGGAAACAGTGGGTTCTGGAAGTTTCTTTTTGTCCTGCATTTGTTTCGCCAACTGTTTATCTCTCCTCCTAAAACACTCCACAACCTCTTTTTCCAACACCGCCAGTTTCTCCTTCACATACTCCTCCACCTTAAAAAATTTAACTCCACAGTCTCTCTAAAACACACTTCACGGTTAAAATGAGTCTTTAAAATAATTTTCCAGTTCTAAAACAAAGTTTTTAAGAGCAAGCACTTCAGCACGAAGCTGGTCACAGTCACAGTGGTGTAAAATCTGTTCATCGTTAAAATCCACAGGAGTTTTAAAAGAAGCAGCACTTTCAAAATGGGTCATCATCTTTTAACACTTCCTCAACACAGTTTAAAATCTTAAAACGTCCTCTGCTCAATCTGACTTGTGTTGCAGCCCGGAGTCTTTAAAATTATTTTCCAGTTCTAAAACAAAGTTTTTAAGAGCAAGCACTTCAGCACGAAGCTGGTCACAGTCACAGTGGTGTAAAATCCGTTCATCGTTAAAATCCACAGGAGTTTTAAAAGAAGCAGCACTTTCAAAATGGGTCATCATCTTTTAACACTTCCTCAACACAGTTTAAAATCTTAAAACGATCCACAAGACCACGGGAACCAGATGAGTCCTCTGCTCAATCTGACTTGTGTTGCAGCCCGGAATTAAACCACATCATGCTGGATTCGTCTGGCCAAAGGAGAACTGATCCCCAAGGTTTTTTCTCCATTCTGTTACCAATGGAGTTTTGGTTCCTTGCCACTGTTGCCTTTGGCTTGCTTAGCTGGGGACACAATTTCTGGAATCCTCTGCTCAATCTGACTTGTGTTGCAGCCCGGAATTAAACCACATCATGCTGGATTCGTCTGGCCAAAGGAGAACTGGTCCCCAAGGTTTTTTCTCCATTCTGTTACCAATGGAGTTTTGGTTCCTTGCCACTGTTGCCTTTGGCTTGCTTAGCTGGGGACACAATTTCTGGAAATATTGTTGACTTGACTGCACAGACAGTACAGGTGCATCTCAATAAATTAGAATGTCGTGGAAAAGTTAATTTATTTCAGTAATTCAACTCAAATTGTGAAACTTGTGTATTAAATAAATTCAATGCACACAGACTGAAGTAGTTTAAGTCTTTGGTTCTTTTAATTGTGATGATTTTGGCTCACATTTAACAAAAACCCACCAATTCCCTATCTCAACAAATTAGAATACTTCGTAAGACCAATTAAAAAAAACATTTTTACTGAATTGTTGGCCTTCTGAAAAGTATGTTCATTTACTGTACATGTACTCAATACTTGGTAGG